AAAAGCTTTTGAAAGTTAAAAATTAGAAAAGCTCAGAGGAAAGTAACGTTGAATAATGATGCTATTTCAGTCTTGCTCCTTCTTTTCTAGCAGAAAGTATATTAAATTTCTGAATGCACAAGTCATGAAGAAGATTTTATGGATTTCGTTTTAGAAGAGCAATTATTCTAAAATGGAAAAATTCAAAAAAGAAACAGAAAGATAAAATTTCTGCATCATTTTTCACATAAAAACTTGGAAATGAATAAATAAATATATGAAAAAAATTGAAAAAAATAGATAATTATTGCATTTTATTCAAAATATCATAACTTAAGTTATAACTTATAAACATTTAAAAATAAATCAAACAAAAAAAGTTTTTTAATTTTTTAAAATCAATTCGTTTATAGTAAAGTATTGCTAAACAAATTAAATTATTAATTAAATTAATAATCTAATTTCAGTTTTTAAAATAAAAGGCGAAAATAAAGATGACTACTGTTAAGATATTCATTTAAAAAAGTTATTAAAAGATTTTTTGTGATTTTCTGCGAATTCAAATTATTCTAGTGTTACAGTAATTAATGAATTTTAATATCTCGATTAACCTTTGTGCTATTTGCATAGTGGAAAAAAATTATTTTGAGTAATGAAAAACCAGCGGTAGATAATTTACGATCACGTATGAAAAAGTAAGCAATTGCAGAATATTTATTTTTGATTTTCGATAAGTCCGTAAAATGTTTTCACTTTATGTCTTCGATTTATGCAGTTAGTAGTAAGTCAGCTGCAATAATTTCTCTGACCTGTTTAGTGAATTATACATTTGCATAAAATAATTAATTATAATTTAAAAGGAATATTTTTTTGTGAAAGATTGAAAATAAAAATTGTGGACCTTGCAATCACTGCAAGAACCATTCGGTGAAAAAGGCCTTGTTGCACTCGCTGTATCGACCGCCAGTAAACAATCAAATCGGTGTAAAGTAAGATTAAATTTTTCATATGCTTTATCTACCTGTTTTATACCTCGATCAACCTAAATAACAAAATGTTACCAAAATGTTAAGGAATGACAAAATTTCCCATACCTGAATAAATTCATACCTTTATCAAAATAAATACGCAATTCTTTGAGCTACGCTTACTGTTTATGCAATAAAATCAAAATAAAAAAAATAATAGTTTGGACTTTTTTCTAGAAATAACTGAAAGTATTCTGAATTTTAACTTCAGAATATGTCCGAAGAACATTTATTTACATACTCAGTTATTTCAAAAAAATTTCAGAAATAAAATAAAGAATTAACCTTCTGAAAGCAAGAAAGGCACTGTTGAGCACCAGATGGAGCCAAAATACAAGCTTGTCCTTCATTGTCTTCATGTAAAAATTTAGCAAGCATTTGAAGATCCGCTTCGTTATTAACGTATTTCACGTTTAGACGAAATAACTGTGCAGCTTTTATATTATTATCTTCTGAACAATCACGTTTGAATATGGAAATTTTAAGTAAAAACTGATAACGTTGCCAAGGTGATAATTTGCATAAATCAAAGGGCGTAAGCGATGACCAAATATAACAAATTGTATCCGATGATAATCCTAGACGTACCAGAGTAGAACGTGAATACTTCAAAAATGGATTTTCATGTATAAACGTTGTGCCAACAGTGTTGACAACTGTACTTGGATTAGTAGTTGATGTCAAATGCTGCGCAAGATTAGATATATCTTCTTTTACAGAATTCATATTATGCAAATTAAACGAAGATTCACTAACCGCTGCACGTACACAAATTCCTGTTGCTACAAAACAAGCTAACAACGAAATCGCGTGCCAGTAAATGAATAATTTAAAATTTGCATGCAAAATATGCCGTTTTTGTAAATAACAATTGTTGGATGGAACTGAGGATAATGATGATGATGATGATGATGATGATAATGATGAGGCAGTATTACATAAATGCGAGGAAGAAGTACGTCTGAGATTACGGTATGATTTGTAAACGATTTTCTGCTTTTTACAATAACTTTTGAATAAATCCTTTTTTCTTGCTTTTATTAGTGACTTTTTGTGATAATAATGTGTAGAAAGTAACGCTTGACGTCTATATTTCTTCAAAATTAAGCAATTATCCAATGGTTTTTTAAATTTTATACTTTTCGAATCATCATTAGTACTATGATGACTTCCTATGAGCAGTAGTTTTGATTGATAATTATTTCTTACTGCGCTTTGTGTCGAGCAGTTACGAATAGTATTCTTATTAAAATATTGCTTACTGTTGTTATAATTATTATTTCTATTATTATTAATTAAACCGTAAGTATTACAGTACTGCGTTTTACTGCATGATGCTGCTGAACATGCAAGTATAACTTCTTTTATATTACTTTTAATAATATTTTTCTTAATATTTTCAATGCCACCATAAGTTGTTACAGTATTGCATGGCCTTTTTTCCTTGCCGGCATGCATTTTCGTGGCGCGCTTTCGCGCGCCTACACATATTATCGCATTTAAACAATTAGCGACGTAACCGCGAAGTTTGCGGACGTCGCTGCGATCAAGATGGCCGATGCGGATTGTTGAATGCGATCACGCAACTTCTACAAGTGATCGCAAATGTTGCTGTTAATATCTCGAATGATGAATGAATAATCAGTCTTTTCTGCGCAGATTTGTAGTAATTGAAATAATGATGAATGTTTAACATAAAATACGTAGTATCCTTTTGAATGTATCAATTTTGAAAGTAAAAAGTAAAATATTGTCAAGATAGCTTCTTCGAACTGGATATGATGATAAGAGTAATAATGAAATTATATTAATAACGCTAATACAATCGAATATGACGATGACGGAATGCGAGAAATAGAATTGTACTGCCAAATCAACAGTTTTTGTACAGCTCAAAATCCGTGAATAATTAATTATTCAATGCATGTAAGTAGTTGTTTCCATTCAAATAGTCCATTGGTTTTTATGTCTGAAATTACTATACAAAATAGCTTAACTGAATGTTAAGAATTTGTAAGGAAAACATAAAACACATGGAAGTATAACGTGAAACTTATTAGCTTAGCGTAAAAATTATAGCGTAAAAAAATTTTCGATCTTTTTTGCAGTAAATTAAATTTTATTGTAAGATTATGAAACTGAATTTTGAAAATCAAAGTTAAGTCTTAAATTTAAAAACAAAAAAGTCTATGCCTTATTAATATTAATATTGTCATTATCATTATCATTGTTAAAACCAGTACTGTTATTACTACTATTGAAACTATCATCATTACTGTTGAGCTGTAAAAATTAGTATTAAAAGTCATTTGACAATTTGGACGGATTATCAAACTTTTAGATACATTTATACCACTATGCGTGTATATATATAAACGATTATCAATCTGTTACTTTATTTTAAAAAATTTTTCTAGCAAAAAGTTTTCAAAACTTTTTCAGTTTGCCATTGAAATAACCCTTCTCCAACAGCAAATCTTGCAATAATAATTGAAGTAACAAGTAAATTAGACAAATTAGTCGTAAAAACTAAACTCTTTATGATCTACATAATTAATTTAAAAAATAGTCAATTATTAGCAAGTCAAGATTATTTCGAGATAATCACAATTTGAAAAAATGACACAATCAAAATGTTTCCACAAAACTTTAGTACCAATCAAACTTTACAAGTATATAACGATTATTAATTTAAAAAGATGCAAACAAAATACTTGAAAAAAGTTTACTCTCAAAATTTTTATAAAAAATAAATAAAAATAATAGACAAACTTTTTCAATTGTTGAAAAAGAAAAAATTTGACAATTATGGACATATTCAACAGCAAAACTGACCTTAACTGACCTGCACTGACCTGTACTGACCTGTACTGACCTGTACTGACCTGCGCTGACCTGTGCTAACCTTTAAGTATTAAAATAAATGCATAATTATGCTTGAAAATTTTAAATCACTGAAAAAAATTAATGCATGTAATTTAAGCTAAAACAAAAATTGTGCATTTTATAACTAACTAATTTTATTGACTTAAAAAAGTGTAGAAAAAAAATTTAATATAATTTTGCTTCTACTTTTTAAATGATAAAAAAAAAGAATAAATGTAAGTTTTCAAAGTAATTTTATGAAAATAAAAATGACAAAAAGAAGCCTAAATTATTTGTTGGAAATTATTTGTCTGATTAAGCAAGCAGTATGTAAGCATATGAAGAAAAGATTATCAATTTGCATTTTGCTAATATTTCTTTTCAACAACTTCACATTTTATTCCTTTTATGAATACTTACTTTTCAAGCAGTCTTATTCTAACAATACAAAATAGCTTAATTATTTCAGCACATACATTTTCGATAATTATTAAAATTTCATTCATAATCTTTAAATAAGCTAATTTTATATAAAAACATTAAAAAGTATTCATTTATACAAATTACAATTCTATACAATCTATACATTTATTGATTATAAATGCAAATATATATATATAAATAATTTATTTTTTATAAATTTAAGTTAGATTTTTTATTGTTTACATTTTCAATTTTATTCAAATATTAGTACTTTTTAATGTTATACAAATTAAAAAATTTTTAATTACTACAATTTTTATCGAATTTTATTCAAATTGTGTTCAATTTTGCAACTAATAAATTATACGTAATAATTCTAGTTTGATTTTAAAAATACTTGAGATTATAAGTATTAATTATTTGAAGAGATATAAAGTAAACTAAAAATATTAGCCAAAATCATAGGATATTCGATGTTTTTTTGCGTTATAATAATTAAAAAGATGCATCTGAGATGTATGTAATCCATCTGAGAATCAATGATTGTTATCATCCGCAAACTTATGCTTAATTATGTATAAGAAATTGAATAAGTATTTTTATACCACTAGAATATTCCACTGAAAATTATGATACAAAAATAGTTTATCAGTAAAGTATAGAAATATAAACGTGAACTTTGAATAAACTTTGATGGAATCAGTTGTTACAGTTTAGTTTAGAATCTTGGCTTCAGAAGTGATAACAATAATGTGAAACTGAAAAATCTTTACTTTCACTTAGATAAACTCAACAAATTCAACATTAATTTGACTGGAAGTAATAAAGTTTCCATTTTTGCATAATTAAAATTTGAACATTGCATTAAAGTAATTCGAGAATCAATCAAGACGATGATAACAATAAGTTGGCAGAATAAGAATGAATATAAATGAATAGCAGCAAAGAAAAACAGAAGAATAAAAATGTAAAAGGAAGGGTTCAATGTCCAATGATGGATGAGTAAATGGCTTGGTTTGGTAAGGAAATGATTACTTTTTGAAAGTAAGGCCTGCGTCCGAGCTGAAGCTAAGGCTAAGGCCAAGGCCAAGGCCGAGGCTAAGGCCAGGCTTACGCTTGGATCCATCCAAAATGTCACTAAATGTGCTGTTGAGTGAGAGATTGAGTGAATGAGTGAGTGAATGGAATGAGTCAAAAGCAAGAACTTAAATTAGACAACAACATAGAAGTATTTTTACTTTATAAAACAGCAAACTTCCCGATTTTCTGAGTTTTTACTCTTCTGAAATAAGTATTCAGTTGAAAAAGTTTGTAATTGCGTTCAGTAAAACTATAAAAAATATATATTATAAGAATTTCAGTTCCAAATTTTAATTATTAAATTTAATTGTTCAATTAATGTCATATTACTGGTTGTTGATATTACAAAAAGCTATCAAGTATTTACATTACTTTTAGAAAGTTTAGCTTATCCACTGGTTTTATTTAAAAGACTGGCAAAAATGTATTTAAAAGTTCAAGTTATATCCTCTATAAAAATAATACCATTAATAATATAAACAAAATTGACCTCAATATTTTGACCTCATTCCAAGGCTTGTATGTTTTATTCATATAAAGTAATCACTCAAAAAATCAGTAAAAATTTTGCAAATGTGAAAAACATAATTGTATAGCTAATATAATTATAACCAAAATTTATTCGAAAAAAAGAGATTTAGATAAAATTAGGATATAATAGACTAAAGTAAGTTGAATTTAGCTAGACATATATCAAACTTCACTTAAAACTCACGAAATTTTTTTTAGAAATTGAAAGTAAAATGAAAAAAATCCTTTAGTTGTATCAGAATCCTTTCAAAGCTTCCAGTAAACTCCTTCTTACTTTTCTTTTTCGCATTCATTCATTGCCTTAAACAGGCTCAAACAAATAATGATTGAATTAACGCCTGAGAAATGGACATTTGTGCCAACTGAAGACATACATACGAACACTAATGATAAATATTAGTACAATCTAAGTCTCTAAAATTAAGGCTTAAAAATGACTGAAATAAATTAAAAAGTTGAAGATTGAATGAAAAAATTATAGACTACAACATTAGTTAGAGTAATTTTGAGCTGAAATATTCTCAGAGTTAGTAAAAAAAATAAAAAATAAAGTTACACTCTATGACTTATTTGCTAACTTATTTACTTATTTTATGTAAAGATTATGGCTTAGAGCAGCTTGTCATTAGCACTTGGGGCAAATTAACAGTTCCTAAAGCTTATTTTCCAATCCATACTGATCCTTAGGCATTTTTCATTTCTTGTCTTTAGTAATATTTGTATTACTTATTTGCACAAATAAATAGCACCAAACTGATTTCACTTTACTTTTTTATACAATTTTTTCGAAAATAAATTTTACACGCATCAAATACACGTGTAATATATTTTGCTTTATAGGCGTAATTTCCAAAATTTATCATACATGCAATCGTTTTTATTACATTTGCAAACTTTGTCATGCGCAAAAATACGAGTGATTATCAGTCTTTACTGCATAATTTTGAAAATTTAATTGTTTTACACTCAAACACATTCAATTGTTTTTAGTAATTTTTACAGATCCTAAAAATAAAATACTAATATAAATAAAATAGTTTTAAAAATAATATAAATAATTGATAACGTTTAATTTGATATATTTTTAAAATTTATTGACGCCTAATATGCGATCTCTTGTAAACATATACCATAAAAAGGCAGAATTTTTGATGCAACAAATACAAGATATAATCTAATCACCATTTTACGTGCATTTCAAAAACAGAGCATATTTGACGGTTTCTATACTCTCTGCTAACTTTTATACGTAATGCAGTAGCCCATCTGCAACGCCATAAATCCACAGAAGCTATGTGATACATCCTATGGTTGTTAAATGATGCAGTCAAACGTTCGTTACGTGATTGACTACTGCTATTATCCTACCACTTCTGATACAAAAGATGTTATTAATATTGCTATAAAGTAAATAAAGTAACTTAATGGTAGCTACTGGATTTAATGAGCGTGAATTAGTCACTATATAATAAGAAGTATATGTATCAAAAAATTCATAAATTGATAAAAATTTTAAAGCATAAAAAAAATATAGTAAAATTAATAGCAAAGATAGTAAT